AGAGGGCCGGCTGCAGTCATGTGGCCCACCGGCCACGAGTTTGACATGCTTGCCTGAGCTACCTACCAGGGCCAAAGGGATCCAAGTAGTATTTTTATTTTATTTTATTTTTTATTGACTTCAGAGAGGAAGGGAGAGGGAGAAAGGGATGAGAGAGAATCATTGATCCGCTGTCTCCTGCATACCCCACACTGAGGACTAAGCCTGCAACCCGGGCATGTGCCCTGACTGGGAATCGAACCGTGACCACCTGGTTCATAAGTCAACGCTCAACCACTGAGCCACGCCAGCTGGGTAGGATCCAAGTTTTAAACCTCTAAATTTGAGTAGACTTTGGGATTTATTTATTTACTTACTTACTTATTTTTAGTAAACCAGTCTAATTGGCATAAAGTAAATCCATTACATTCACTAAAATTCAGGTTTGGGGGACAGCTGTGGAGTCAGTGTACACTTTTCTTCACTGCCCATGAATAGTAATATCTTCATTATTTATTCATGAAAATGAAATTATTGGGGTCAAAGGCACAAACTGGCTAAGGAAGGAAGATGTGATTAAGAGAATGGTTATTGGCAAATACATCATCAGCAACATTTTGCCATAGGATGCTCAAGTCCATGGAAATAAGAAGATCAGTGCTCACATTTCCCTCTTAGAAGAAAACCGACTACTGCCTCATAGAGGGGCTGTTCTATTAAGGAATGTAGCTTGTACTTTAGATGATGCTCCATTTGTACTGAACAAAGTGCTCTACAGGGACATGAAGGGAATCAGGTAAGAATTTCTTGAAAAAGTTGATTTACCCTCCTTTTTAAAAAATATGTTTTGATTGATTTTTTAGAGAGAGGAAGGGAGATGAATAGAGAGAGAGAAACATTGACGAGAAAGGAACAACATCATCTACCACCTGGCTCCTGCATGCCCCCTACTGGGAATTGAGCCCACAACCTTGGCATGTGCCCTGACCAGGAATCGAACCTGGGACCTCTTGTTTCCTGGGTCGATGCTCAACTGCTGAGCCTCACCAGCCCGGCGATTTCACCCTTCTTTAAAAAAAAATAATACAGTGGGGCCTTGACTTACAAGTTTAATTCGTTCGGAGACCGAGCTCGTTAAGGAGCTCGTTAACTCAAATTACTCTGACAACTCAATGCAAAAAATCAGCCGAGATAAAAAACTCCTTAGCAGGGACACTCTTAAGTCAAGTCCCCACTGTAATTCTCTTTGTGAAGTAAATCAGCATTGAAATCCTAGCTAGCTGCCCAAGAGAGAAATGCCTCAGGTCACCAATGCTTCTAGAGTGGAGATGATTGGTTTCCAGTCTCAGGTGATTTCACTTGATCATTTCTAGAGTTTACTTAGGCATTGATTGGCCATGTAGGGATTCTGCTTTACAATATCAGCTCAATTATTTCTGCCTGCTCTTTAAAGTACGTCTCCTGCATCCTGATTATATATGTTTTCTCTGTTATGATCTAAGCTTGTTTTTTAAATCTTTCTTTCAAGTCAGACTCTCCAAACTGGTAATTTTATGAGTTCACTTCTCTGACATGTAATGCCGATGATTATGAATGGAGATTTGATCTAGTTTCTACATGGTTTAACCTAAAGCTCCTCCTGTGCCTTTGTCTCATCCTCCCATTCCTATTCCTTAGCTTTACAGTGATAGATAAAGGGAAGCCAGTACATGTCCCTCAAGTTCAGCACCATGGCAACATTTTCTTCTGGAACGATTCCCGCAAGGAGAATGATAAAAATGGATCATTCTTGGCTCTGCCTCTTCAGAATGCATATATGAGGATCTTTGGGGTCCTGGCTGTTGACACACTAAGAGATCCCCAGAAAATAAACATCTTCTTGCCTCATGAGATCAAATTCTATCAGGTAAGTCAGAGAAGGATTCTTCCATAGCAATGGTAGGATGGCTTCTCCTTTTATACTTTTTACAAAGCAAAACCTGAAACTAGATGAGGGTAGAGCTATATATGTAGAAACCTAGAAATCCTTTGCTTTTTCTACAAATGGTGCTAAATATGATATGTGATCCCATAGCTCTTGATATCAGTATTATAATTTTTGAGGATAAAGAATGAAGAAAAATGCTTAAGTTTTAGGCACTTTTAAAACTATACAATAACTGGATCATTTCTACAAACATTTAAATTTATGAATGGAAATTGCAATGGAGGAAGATTGAAAGCCTTTATAGAGGCAATAGACATACTATAAAACCTTTATAGCAGCAATCGGGAACTTGCTCTGTCCTTATCATTTGTTTCCCTGTAAGCCCCTGGCTCTTCATATTTATTTACCATTATTTTAAAATTTCTGCCGAAACCGGTTTGGCTCAGTGGATAGAGCGTCGGCTTGTAGACTGAAAGGTCCCAGGTTCAATTCCGGTCAAGGGCATGTACCTGGGTTGCAGGCACATCCCCAGTAGGAGATGTGCAGGAGGCAGCTGATCGATGTCTCTCTCATCGATGTTTCTAGCTCTCTATCTCTCTCCCTTCCTCTCTGTAAAAAATCAATAAAATATATTTAAAAAAAAATTTCTTTTCCCACTTACTGGGTAACTGGAAAGTGGTAGAATCTTTTAAAGAATAAGATTCATTCTCATCTGACATAATGATATGAAGATATTTAGAAGCAAAATGGAGGAGTATGGAGTTATCAGTAGGTGAACTAATACACAGCCTTGTTAGAGAACATGTCAAAATGAATTATAAATAGATTATCTAGTCCTTGGAGGTAAAGGCTCCTGTACTATTACTTTATATGCCTTGGGTCCTAATATAAAGTGCATATATACATATTTTAAATCTATTTTTATCGATTTCAGAGAGAAGGGGGAGGGGGAGAGAGAGAGAAACATCAACGATGAGGGAGACTCATCAGTCAGCTGCCTCCTGCATACCCCACACTGGGGATCCAGCCTGAAACCCAAGCATGTGCCCTGACTGGGAATCATCCGTGACCTCATTTTGTGGATTGACACTCAACCACTGAGCCACACCATCTGGGCACCCACCCACTCTTGAAAGTTCAATTTCATCTCCTCTGTGAAGCCTTCCTGGCAAATACACTATTCGTCTAGGAAGACTTTTAGGAGAAAGTGACGTCTAAGCAAAGACCCAAACGAGCCTGTACCGATTCTCTCCCCATGATGCCCCTGCAGTGCCTCGAAGGGTGGTTGGAGCCCTGTGGACACTCCAAAGCTGCTTGCTGAACATCAAGGCACCAGGGCAACCAGGGCAAAGGAATGTTTGGATAGCTATAGTTCTTAAGACATCAAGTAAATTTAACATCCTGTACATGTCCATACCTTAAATTACAAACCCTAGCCAATCCTATATAATAAAAGCCTAATATGCTAAGTGTCCAACCATTCGACCAGTTGCTATGACGTGCACTGACCACCAGGGGGCAGACCCTCCGACCAGTAGGTTAGCTTGCTGCTGGAGTCCGGCTGATCTGGAGTAGGAGAGAGGGGGCTGGACATGCCATATTTTAAAACCATATTTAGTTAGCTTTAGGCTAACTGGGGACATAGTTCCCATGACACGAACTCAAACTGTCCACAGTTGAGTGGCAGGAATCCATCTCATACTGCCTTAGGCAAAAAGGGGAATTGCTTGACTCATGTGACCGAAATGAAGAAAGGATAGACAGCAAGGTGGCTTCCGAGATGACCAGATCCAGGGACTCAATGCCATCAGGGCTCTCTCAGGTTCTTCTCTCCCCAGTTCTCATGTGGCTTCCCTCTGCACTTTGGCTTTGTACTTCCAGCTAAAGACGGGCTTTTTCCACAAGGCAAGGCCAGCTGCTTAGTAACTTGAAAAGAATCTTTCCTTTCTGTTCCAATTTGGAAAACCCACAAAAGAAAACTCATTTTGACCTATCCTGAGATGTGCCTGGGATAGGGAACTTTTCTACAGTGCACTTGTAACATCAGAAGAATAATATAAACATGGCATTTTATCACCATTATTTTTAAAAATATGCTTTTGGATTTAAATAAGTCTCATATTTGGACATTTTTTCTCTTGTGGAACACCTCATTCCTTAACGGTACTGAGTAAGTAAAAATGTCACTGTACTTAAAACTAGAAATAAACTAAGCTTTTCTAATTTTTTCCTACTTATCTGTCCCCAAAAGCTTTAATGAGAATATGAAGTCTAATTGTTCTTCTCCATAATGAAATATCTTCCTCTTTTCAAGGGTTCAGACTATGTTTTACGCAATATGATGGTCACAGGGCCCCTAGGTCTAACAGAAATCCACAAAAATCCCCCTACCGTCTTCAGGAAGACATGCATCTTCAGGTATGAGAGGCATCTTCATGTCTGTTTTGTTTGCTTGCCAGAGCACACAGCCGGGTGTGATAGATCTGAAGACACAGCTTTTGCCTCCTATTAGTATACAATGACTCTCATTCTGATTGGATTTTAGAGACAATCTCCTGACTGCATGGGTCATATGAACTCCTTTCCCCCTCAAGTCCTTTTAAAAACAAATCTCATTGGTGTTTTATATTAAAATTGCATGTTGTTAAGCATGATAGTCTTTTATTTTCTTGTAAACAAGGAATTAAATAAAACCCACTATGATTATGACAAATACATCTACACCACTTATCAAAATTCCTCATCTTAATATTAGCCAGCTTGTGAACAAGTATATTTTATTTAAAGAAGACAGGCCGGGCAAAAGAGGACAGGGGTCAAAGAATGTTATCTTCAATAAATACCCAGTTCCGGGTTACTTCAACTGCCTCTCACCTGTGGAATACAGGAACACTATTAAACTGTCGACAGATGCAAAACATCTTTACTGAGAACACTCCTATTGCAAGAGGGGGCTGACTGCTTCTTGGGGAGGGTCAGTGTAGCTGAGTAGTCAATAACCTATCTTAGCCTGAAGGCTAAGTTGATATTTAAGTACCTATTTAATTAAATTTTAGTACCAGAATGTTCATTAAGTTGGAAACTCTTTTTCTATTATTATTTCTATTTCTATTCACATAATTAATCCTTGTGGTGTTCAAGAGTTTTAGGGGAGTCTTTGTAACACCCAGACTCATTTAATGATGCATCAGTTTAGCATGATGCATCATTACTATTGTTATAAAGTCACACAGTGGTGGGAGTAGCAAAAGACAGACTCTTACCTGTCATTATAGGATTGGTATTATCAACTGTAAATGTGCTTTTTTTTTTTTTTTGAGGCAATGCAAAGCACCAACATTTTTACAAATACCTCAAAAGAATGACATCCCAATGTAGATGGGGAAAGAGGAAAGGAGATAAAAAGAGATGTGTCCATACCTTACTATGCCACTGCATTTCTGTGAAAACCTCTGGTCTCTCACTGAAGCAGATGCTGTTGATGCCCAGCCCAGATCCCCCATGTATCTTTTGCCAGCTGCTGCAAGTGCTACTGCTAATGACTCACACTGTAGCTTTCTCAGGAGGAGTGCCCTTGAGAAATGGGAGCTTCTCACCAGGAGGTGCCTACCAGTTATGTAAACACTCTTCCCCACCCACAGAGCAACTTAGAGCCAACCACTGACAAAGACCTCTTCCTTGCATCCAGGTGGGACAGACGTTGACAGTTTGCTTCCCAGAGCTCCCCTTGGGATCAGGCTGAGGTTAGACTTTACCTGAAATCACATTCTTATGTAGCTTTTCCCCCTTCCCCCTCCTGCTTTCCTTAGACCCTCACAGGTTTCTCCTGAGAGCATTCCCTTAACAAACCATTTCCCTGTCTCGGGTGCTGCTTCTAGAGAACCTAACATGCATCATTCCTTCAGGCATTCCTCCAATACTTCCTGGACAGCATGTAAACAAACAAAAAAATGAATACCTTTCAGATAAGTATGAGTCCAGTAAAGACAATAAAGCAGAGTAACATGAGGGAGCGTGACTCAGGCGCTACTACTTTAGATTCCACGGGTAGGGAAGGCTTCTCTAAGAGGAGATGAGTGAGTGAGCTGAGGGAGAGCTCTGTGAAATCAAGAGATGAAGTGGTCCAGGCAGATGAAATAGCAACAAGAGCTGGTGGGCTGAAGTGTAGTAGGCACAAAAGAGAGTGATTCAGTATGTTTGGGTGGAATGTTATGAACAGGCTGATCTTCGATACCCTTATGCTTATTTGGTTTTGATTTCAGGGATTTCCTTTTTAAGTGTACAGACAGTTCAGAAGTTCTTTTGGCCTCTGTCTGTGGAGAAAACCACATCGCAATTCCACTTCGTGAGAGAACAGGAGAGGCTCTGGGGGCTCTCGATTTTAACATTGGCAAGAGGAAGATGTTGTTTTATCGAGAATTTAAAGATCTACAGAAAATGGTGAAGGTGACCCAAGCTGCCTGCTATGAAATACTGGACGAGTTATCTGGAGAAAAAGAGAAAAATCGTATCTTAGGTATTGTGAATGTGGTGACAGTCTAAATGTATGGGTTTAATTAGTTTTGGGGAAATCACAGGCAATGCAATGAAGGATGTTTTCTAAAATGAGTTGTTGCAATATACAGATTTTCCTCATGAAAGAAATCCCCTCATTGCAGTCTTGGACTGATGAGTATGAGCTATAAATTAGAGTAAAGGGTAAGGAATTGCATTTTCTTGGCTAGAATCACATGATTTTAGAATTAGAAAGCCTCCTAAAGGCAATATAGAACTAGCATTTATTAAATGCCCCATCATATACCAAGCACTTTAAATATGCTATTTCAGTTAGTCCTGACCATAACTCTATGAGGTGAATGGTGATGCCTCATCTTATAGGTGAGAAAGGCAAAGTTTAAAGAAACAAAATAACTTGCACCAAATCACAGTTAGCAAGTGGTGGAGACTGGATTTACACTCAAGTTTGGGTGCTCTTTCCACTATATTACAGAGCGTTACGTCATCAGAGCATCTGATTTTACAGATAAAGAAGCTAAAGCCCATCAGAGTAAAGGTCCAGTAGCAAGCTAGGGACAGAGCCAAGACCGGACCTCAATCCTTGTGATTCCACATCCATTAGGCTACTCCTGATACAGTTTGGGCAGAAGGGAGGAAGAAGAAAGCATGGAAACCTTTGACTACCTAGAAGAGAGTGAATGGAAAGAGAAGAGTAACACGTGTATAATTAAGCTAACAGTTTTCTAGCCATTACAATAGGGTGGGGAGGGATATGAAGAAAGAAAAAAGAAGAAAATTCATGTCTTGTGATTGCTCACTATGTAAAAGGCCAAGATTAAGCACTTTTACATATATCAACTTTTTTTTCCATGCTTCATTTCTTTAATCATGTGGTAACAAAGATAACAGACTTACAAATATCATTTGGATGTGCACTTATTTTTGTTTAAAGTATTACATATGTCTCCTTTTTCTCCCATCAACCCCTCCCTGGCCACTCCCACCGTCCAGGACATACCCCCACCACCCCAGGGTTGGTGTCCATTGGTTATGCTTATATGGATGCATAGTAGTCCTTTGGTTGATCTCTTATCCCCCCCCCCAACCCCGCTGACCATCCCCCGACTTCCCTCTGAGCTTTGACGGTTTGTTCGATGCTTCTTTGTCTCTGGATCTATTTTTGTTCATCAGTTTATGTGGTTCTTATATCCCACAAATGAGTGAGATCATGTAATATTTATCTTTCTCTGACTGACTTATTTCGCTTAGCTTAATGCTCTCCAGGTCCATCCATGCTGTTGAAACCATCTGGACCAGGGCTTTAGTTTGCTGGA